CTTCATTGATCTCTTGAAAGTGTAAAAAGCAAGATCGTATTTTCAAATCTTCAACAGAAGCGGAATATAGATCCATGTCTGCTGCATGTTCTGGAATCATTTGGCTTTGCAGGCTTTTAGAAGAACTTGGCGTTAAGATTAACTCCTATACACCTCTTTATGCAGATAATTCAAGTGCAATTCAAATTGCCTCCAATCCTGTCTTCCATGAGAGAACAAAACACATAGAAGTGGATTGCCACTGTATTAGAGATGGTGTTATCTCCCTTGCTAAAGTTTTCTCTTATGACCAAGTCGTTGATTTATTTACAAAGGCCGTGAATAGAACGAGACACCATTATCTTGTTTCCAAATTGGTGTTGATATCTCAACCAACTCCAATTTGAGGGGATGTTAACATGATATTATTCACGAAAATAAGGCAGCAGATTAGCACATTCACATTATTGACTTATCACGATTTTAGGCTGATTACAATGCAGTAACAATGCTTGTACAGCTAGGATAATATCTTCCTTTCACACTTGTATTTATACAGTATATATATCCTTTCATTGTAGCTGCAAGAATATTAACAAAGATACAGTTATTCAATTCATATTATTTTCCTTCTCAGTTTCTTTGATTATCAAGAATAAAATTAAAAATACTTTTTGGAGATCACAATCTCATCCTATATTTTGATTAATTATCACACACAAACTCAATAGATGATTTGTCATATTGAAAAAAAATTTTAAAAAAAAAAAAATTCGGTAATATAACGCGTGGATTAGCTTTTAGAGGTTATGATATCATTTTGTAAAAAATTAACTCATATAACCTTTAACTTTTAACGTTTCATAAAAAGCTATTTAAACAGCTAAAAACTAAACTCTATTAAAACAGCTAACAGTTACCAGAACAACTAATTTTACCGAACAGATCCTAAGAAACTTGAGAATTTGCATTCAAATAATCAAGTAGAGGGTTGATAGAACCCACTATGTTTGAGATAAGCCATATCTTCATCTCTTAAATGTTTGGAATCAAAACAACAATTTGCAAGGTTGTGTGCATCTAATATGTAAAAAAAGAACAAATCATTAAAAAGATTATTTTGATTTTTAAAATAGTAAATGTATATAAATATATATGTATAAAGTATGTGTGTATTTTAAATCTTAAAAAGTGTATTTTTAAATAAAAGATGAACAAAAAAAATTTAACTATTGTAGCAGAATTGAGGGGGAAGATTTTTAATAGTAGAATTTAATCAAGAGAGAAAAAAAATTATTATTTTAATCTTATATTTTGTCAAAATACACTATTGTTCCTGTAGTTTTATTTTATCATTATTCTTTTTATCTCATTTATACTGTTATTTTCTTCTGTCACTTTTTATATTTTTTTTCATTAATACTTGTAATCTACCTATGAAAAAATTTATTATCTTGTTCTTATAATTTGTGAAAATTAACTAATTTATCTCTATATTTTTTACAATTATTTACACGTTTTAAAGGAAAAATATAAAAAATTGACCGAAGAATATATTCGCATAATAAAAGTAAAAAAAAGGGAATAAATAGTGTATTTTCAAAAAACATTAGTTGAAGTTAGACTATAGAAATCCAAACTAATGTGAAATGTTTTGAAATGTTAGCTTAATACTAAAAAATACTTTAAACTCTTGAAAGAGCAGTCAAAATATAGTAGCAAAAAGATATAAATAAGAGAGGAGTTTTTGCAAGAAGAAAAACAGAATAGTACTATATATTATTATGTTTGGAGCCATTTTTCCATCAAAGAAAACATAAATACTAAAGGAAGATAGGGTAATATATTCCCTTACCTTACCTGAAACAAACACCTGACCCCATCAAGACATAAATTTATAATGTGGTCCTAAAAATATAACTATAAAATTAAATCTCCCCATGTGAGTTGCCCTAAAGCAGGCAACATTTCTTAAAAGCATTTGACCCAACTCTATTGCCTACAGACCTCTACTGAGGGCAACAATGGACATCAATGTGCAATTTTTTGCCTTCTTCAAGCCTTCAATTTCTTTTTCTCCTTTTTCCAAAATAAAAAGTTTATTTATTTCAGGACTTTTTGTATTTTTTAATAAATTAAATCTCCAGAATAATAATAATATGTTAAATCTTAACAAAAGTTGATGATAATGACAAATGCTTATGATACTAAGTAACCGTTTCATTTATAAAATCCAAAAGGAAAAATTATTTTCAGATAATATAAAGCAAAATATTAGTTTATTAAATTTTATTACCAAAAATAAATTTGGCGAAACACACCATTCTGATATTTTGACATGGGGAAAGCAAAAGGTTTAAGTACTTTGTCCCCTCAATGAATAGCCAAAAGAACAATTTGGACAATACAAAGTCTCCTTTTCCAATTGATGAAGCTTTGGAGAGAAAACATTAATACCCTATAAATTCATTTGTCTGTGGGGTCCATAAAGCTTGTAGTTTTTTGCTCTATATATATAAATTACAATAATTTCTTTTTTTTTTTTTTGAAAATAAATTACAATAAAGTTTATTATGCCAAAATATTTCCAATGTAGATTACTCAACAAATGATTTAATAGTCGAGTGTTAATTCCTCGTAATATAATATGTTAAGAATTTAATTTCTAATAGTTTTTTTATATATATATATTCCTAACGCCTTAAATTCAATGTATATCTAATATCATTTCAATTTTCTTAAAAATTTTTGAATTTAAATAAAAAAAGAAAAATAAATTAGCACCAGCTATTTTCAGGTTACCTTTTAATAAAATATAGTTTGAAGAAGATCTAAAAGCAGAATAAATGAGTCAAAAAGCAGCTCAACTTGCATATATGAGGACAGAAGGAAAGTTAGTAAGGTGGAAAGAAAAAGCATAGATAATATTTTGAAATCAAATATATTTTGGATTTTAACGTTTCTGCCTATCCAAACAATACTTAAACAGTTCAATTATAAATCATTTTGGGAGAATGATTGATCTTTTTGACTGAACCTTTGTTTTATTGAATTGATCAAGGATCTTATATATAATTATTCTGATAACGTAGTGTAAAGGGATAAAAAAATTTGGTTTTTTCTTGAAAAATATTATAAAATTGTTGCTTAGCTTTTTTGGAAATTATTACTTTCATGTTTGATTTATAGCAAAAACAAATTTTATTGGCTTATAATTAACTTATATAATTTAATATTGTGGTTGGTTGTTTGGATCGATAGAATCTGAAAACTATGAATTTTATGAAATCCGTGGAATGTAAAATCCACATATTGTGAAATTTATATAACTTTATATTCCATGATTTGGTTAGAAAATAAAATATAAAAATCCATAAATTTCAAGGGTATTTTAAAATAAAATTTACTGATTTAAATTCTATTATTAATAAATAGTAAGTCAAACAAAACAAATGAATTTAATAAATCTATGAAATGTTTAGATTTCATCCCTCAAATTTCTGCAACCCAAACGATTTAATTGTTCATTTTTTATTAATTATTTAAATAATAAGCCAAAAATATTATTGCTTAAAAAGTTTTACATAATTCAATCATAAGAATTAGGTTGTGTCCGACAACAACTCTTTAAGTAGTTTTTTTACCATTTTTAAAATGTTCAGTAACATAATATTTGAACTGATTTTTAAATATTGAGATAGCATTTTATAAAAGTCTAACTCTTATAATATTTAGTTTTTAGCGTTTTCTTTATTCAAATAATATCAACTAAACGTTACTAAACTTAACTACTACTGAAACGGCTAATCTTGCCGAATATAGCCTTTCAATAAAAGTTAGAATCAATCGCCATAATTTGAATCACCGACAATATTGGGATCCAAATCAGTAATCACCATCTTTGCCTTGTGCAAATGGCAAAGTGGGGAAGTGAAATATCATTGTTTGACATTACAAGAAAAAGGGTATAGAATAAGAGAGCACCAATTACCAAACAAGCCGTATAAAAACAAACAAAAGCCATATAATTGTTTTGGTTATGGTTAAAGAAAAGAGATATCAGATATGTGGAGGCTGAGTCAGTAATCAGTAACAAAGTAGTGCCTATAAAGAGAACAAAATGAGTCACTGTTAATGCTTTGTCATTGGTAGACATAACATAATATACAAAGATTGCTATCAAAAGGACATATAACCCCACACCCATCCCTACAATCAAAGTCATCCCTACAATCAAAGTCACTTTCTTTCTATGCCCTCTCCAGAATGACCTGTTTCAATCACAACAAAGCTCACCCCTTCACCTATTTTGCGGATAAATGTCCCTTTCATTTCAAATTTCATCCTTAAATCTTAATTTAAACCAATTAAAGATATTAGTGATGATGAGTCAAGTAACTTGTATGCTATTGGACCGTGCCTACAAAATATAATCGAGTGGAACTTGAATATTATAATATTCGAGTGATTCGTGATTTCTTTTTAGTACACCAAGAGTATCTTCCACCAAAAAAGTACAGCGTCTGTTAAATAAAATTAACTGTTTTGTTAGTTGTTTTAGTGGTGTTTCATAAAACGCTAAAAGCTAAATGTTATATGAGTTAAATTTTTTATAAAGTGCTATTTTAACCTTTAAAAGTTGATAAGCTAGTTCAAACACTGTGTTACCAAACACTAAAAAATAACGTTGAACATCTTTCTACTTAAAAAGTTATTGCCGAACACATCTGAAAACTAATCTCGTCAAACTACTATCAAGCCTTGAAGCTAGAACCTCTCCTAGATAAATGTTATATCACATATGTAACTTACTCATTTGAACTCAAACTCAAGCTCATTCACATGATTGCTCAAGTTTCAATGATAATCAAATTAAACCAAATCAAGCTCCATTGTTTCTTTTCTACTCAATTTCAAAGTTTATAATTTATTACTCAAAGCTCGAACTTTACACTATCAATATTAGACATTATCCTATACCATGAACTATCCAACAAGAGAGAAAACTGCATAAACACAACTTATCACAACAACTTTGCCTCATTTTTAGAGGAAATTAATATAAAGGAAATCTAATTAGTCTTTAAATACATTTTATTTGCTTAAATCCAAATCATTTACTATAATTCTTTCACCGGTTTTCATACAAAGAGACATACAGCTTAAAAAGTTTTAACTTCATAGGCCACCCTGCCTACATTTAACTAAGTAATTCCAAACAAAGCTGTGTCCAACACACTACATAGCTCGAACTTTCCATGCATCTGAGAAGACAACCCTAACACAGCCTACACAGTTGCCTTTCCTCTGCAATGCACAATGAAATAGAATTGCTAATGACATGAGAAAGGGGAGGCTGAGATTGGGTGGATCAGAAGAAGAGATTTTTTGATTTATGTGTTCGTTATTAGAGTAATAGTCTCCTTTTAGAAGAATCATTCCTGCAAAATTTTAAAGATACTATAATTTAGGGATTTTGCATAATTGAGGAAAGAAGTTAAAAATGGTGATTGGTGATTTACCTAAAGACTTTCTGGTCATCTTCTTGATATTGACTTTCTCAGCATCGCCAAGAACCAAATTCATATACTCACCAAAACCCTGTCAACTGTCAAGTAAAATGAATACCATAGTTTATCCCTCATTTCCAACTGTAAGTCTACCACTGCTAATCACCATCCCTTAAAATCCAAGCATCAACATTAAGCAAGTAATTTCAACTAAAGTGTAATAATCAAATATCCAATTTGTTGATGTATGATATGTGAAGATCCTTTATTTGATCTTTAATTACAATGGTTAGATAATGGACCCACATGACACATATACTTCACTCACACATTGGCTCTCGTTTATCAAAAGGTTAGTGTCAACATCTTTCATATTTTTTAATAATATAGAACAATGCTCTAATATACCGCACTTCTACATTTAGCTTGCAACTATAAAGAGAAGCACAATCCTTTGCCTTTCCACAACACAAAGACACACATTGGAGTCCCAAAGCAAACAGATATCTAGTTCTAATACCCTCCAAAGCCAAAACCAAATAGAAACATCCACCCCAAGTCTCCAACATATAAAATTCACAAACTAAGAAAGTTTTGATCTTTCAATCAAAATGGCAGAGTTGAAAAGTGCTATGGAAGATTACGCACTTATATACCAATGTATTAGCAATGACACCAGCCAATGCCCCAAACTTAGGCATAATATTGATATTCACTAGCTTACACAACATTGTTACTGGTGCTGAGGACCAGAAAAGCAGAAGGAAGTAAGGCAATAATTTTCGTTAGCCTTGTTCTTAGGCATTTCTTCAAACACCAAATTGTTTATCACTCTCTCTTCTTTCTCTCTCTCTCCTCACTTTAGAAATTCACTATAATAAATAATAAAGCAAGAACAAATCATAGCCAAAACTAAACTGTCCAATCATAACCAATGCCTATATCCACTAGATTTACACTATTGAAAAGTTCTAAGCTTTTCTCATATATTTAACAGCAATGATAGTAAAAGACAACCCTTATGAAAGTTGAATTCTTCGAGTAGCAGATAGTGGAATTAGCCTATAAACTAGTTGCAACAAACCAGAAAGAACAAAAATGAACATAGTTCCTCCAGTGTGAATTTCTATAACCATAATTTTTAGAATACATATATAGCACCGGTGACAATGTTGTGTATACCAGTGAATATTAATGTTGTGCCTAAGTTTAGGTCACTGGCTAGTGTCAAGGCTAATAGTAATACTATTGGTATATACGTGCCTAGGTCTCCCATTGCACCATTCAGCTCTGTGCATTTTGATTGAAAGATCAAATTTTGTCTCAATTTATTAATTATTATATGATATTTGGAAGTGAGTGTTTCAGTTTGGTTTTTGAATTTCAAGGGTATCAAAAATTGGTGACAAACAATGCGATTCGAGCCCGTATTTGCAATATCGAAGACAGGGTTAAGGTCGTCGAATCGGTAAAATAAGGATGACTTGGGAAGCTTCAGTGAGTTTATGGGCTGAAGAAGGAGGTTGTTGGATTTGGGAGTCCATTGCATGTCATCGTGTTTTGAAAAAGCTAAGTGATGTTCTTCTATTTATATTTGCAAGCTAATTGTAGAAGTGAGATATATTAGAGTGATAACTCTTGTTTTTTATAAATATTTTTGATATATTAAAAAATATAAGAAAGTTTGACGCTAAACTTTTAATTACTGAGAGTACTCTTTGTATGTGAAATATATGTGTCATGTGGATCCATTACTCTTTGTGCTCTTAGTTATCCACTGAAGTACATCCATAACCTAGGAGCGTAAGAAATAATAAATACTCTTATCATCACTCATTTGCTGGGCAACCTATCATTATGCCTCATGAGTACAAGAAGCAACACCTAAGCATGCAAAACCAATTGAGCTAGACACTAATTTTCCAGAGTAGAGCAAAATCAAAGAAATGTTAAAAAAAGCATGAATATGGTTTACTAGAAGGAAAAACAATTCAAATTAGCACTTGATAAAAACTCTAAAGCGCCTTTTACTACTAGACCATGACAGCAAGCTGCATGAATCATTAACAAACAATTAAAATCTCCAAGCTATGTCCTTTAAGGATCACAATTTCAATCTCATTAAAAATGATTGTAGGATTTCCCAATAGGTACAAATAGAGAAGACAACCAAAATACTAATTTGGTGGTAACGCTATCAAAGGATTGTTGACATTTCTATGACTCTAGTCGCAATATGTTCATCTACTTCAACATCTTAGCATCTTCAAGATATCAGTTGTAAATAATGTCATCAAAGGCAAGTCAAGTACTCACCTAGACATCCGATCAGTACAAGCTGGAGCTTAAGCACCTCACTCTAGATCCAATAGAGGCAACTTCAGCAACCTTGCCTAGATGAGCACCAGGATAGAGGCACATAGCAACTTCTAGGACAAAAGGCATTCAACTTTTACAAAGACAAATACAAAATGGAACACATTAGAGGCAGATTAGAAGGATATGAAGAAGAAGAAGAAGAAGAAGAAGAAGAAAAGTGATTATAACATGGTATGATCCGTGATAGAAACTTAAGTAGAATAATTAAATAATTGTCTCTAGACTTTGGTTCTTTCCTGTTCAATAGTTTGTATAACTTGATGTTCTTTGTGCTAAACAGAATGCAAATACCATGATGAAGAACTTATTTTTTTAATAAAAATCTTGATGAAATGATAATGCTTACACTATGTATGAAGTGTTTATGAATGAGAAAAGAAAGGATTAAATGAAATCCATAGGATAGGAAAAGAAAGTATAAGAAAGATTAAACAAATTTTTTGTGTTTGGATGTCTTATAAAGGATACGAAATGATTCTAAATATCTCATATTTGGTTGGTTTACTTGGTTTAAGGGAGTGGAAAAGAAATTTTCTAATTAAAAAATTATTGATGATTTGAGAAAAGGATACCTTTTATTCATTCATTTTGAAGGCACAGCAAAATGAGACTCTATGGATCACTAATGCTTCGCTATCTTAATTGTTGATTTCTTGTTTTGGTGTTCAAAAAAAAATCCATCTAGCAACACCGATATTAACCACCTCAAGAGCGTCTTTCTTTTTCAATAACACTGGTATTGATTCCCCATTAAAAAGAACAGTCAGCAAAACAAATTCATTCCCTAGTTACATCCTTTTCTTTTCTCTTCCTTTGTCTTCTACCGCTCGAACTTTCAGGGTTTAACATTAGGCAGGAATTAGGGTTCCAATCTAATACTATTACTATCAAAGAAAAGAAACAAGGCCAACATATGGAAAAAAAAAAAAAAGCGGAATTCTGAGCGGCGAAATAGTATACAAGAAGGCTAATGCAAAAAAATAAAATAAAATAAAATTCACAGGACAATGACACCCAAAAGGCTTCATGGAACTTTAATAACAAAGACAACAACAAATTCCCAAACAGTAGAAAAAATGTTTGGTTTAGAGCAAGCATTGATTCAACTACACCTTAAAAAGTAAATTACATACCCTTAATGAGACCTTTAAACTAGCATCACATTTTACCAACACAATAGAATTATGGCAAAAACTACTCTGAACTATAAGGAAATTGAGATTTGTTAATGATCAAATTACAAAAAGAACTTCCTTCAATGTTGTGGAGGTAAAGGGGGGAAAAAAAAAAAGATTGCGTAACGCATAAGTATCAGTTCCTAAAGAGGAACACACAGAAGAACTAGAATTCCAGGCATCTTGAGTGCTCAGAATAAAGGATGAAGATTACAATCATAAATCAAAACCATAAAACAAATATCTTAAGAATAAATTAAAACTCAAAAATTGAACTGCACAAACTTGAAAAAAAAAAACAATATTACTACTAATAATTACACGAAAGAAAAGGATTGTTGATTTAACATCCATGAAAATTCAAAATTCGGAGAGAGATAGAAATTACAGAGCGTCAGAAGTACCGGTGGGATCACGTAGCTGTATGGGACGATGGTAACGAACGGAACGACGGTGAGTGGTTCGGCGGAGCGGGAAGAGTAAGAGAACAGCAGGGGGGAAAATGTGAAATCCCGGGCGACTCTCCCAATCCAGTTCTCTCCATCGAGAAGACCACGTTCAAAAGACGTTGATTGGTTATTCAGCCCCTCATCTCGCTGAGCGAGCTAATTCAAATGTATATTCCTTTTAAATAAATAGAAAACAAAATTGTATACATTTATTTAGATATTTTCTTTGAATATTATTAGAAAATAGTAAAATTATACTTAAGGGATCTAATAAAATTAGATAAGATCTGTCAAAAAATTAATTTAAATTAATAAAAAAGAATAAAAAATATATTAATCAGAAAATATTTTATTTTAGTTAGAATTTAGTAATTCAATAAAATGAAACAATAATTTAGTAATTCGGGTTGAGTCACATAAAGAAATTCAAAATCAAATAAATAACATCTCTTTACCTGAAAGTTAAATTGATCAATTTAAAGAAGATTGGAATTTTAAATAATAAAATTAAGCATCATCTATGTGATTTGGAAAAGAAAAAACAATTGAGCATCATTAATTTAAAATTAATTATTCTCTAATTTCATAATCTATCATCACATATTAATTTATGATCAGACTGAACAACTCGCCCAATAGTGATAGGCTCGTACAGGCCCAGTCTTGGTTTGAACCTCCAAACATTAGCATATGAACCTCAAGCCCACAGCAGAATCAACCTTATGTTTACCTAATCATTCGGTCCTTAATTTATAAATACAGATTCTTAAAACTCTAATAGATACTCAAAAAGAAAATCAAGTTATCACTCAATCTCCAACCCTTACCCTTAATCCCAAATCAAATCTATATACAGCTATAATGAAAAATAATAATATATATATATATTTTTTACTGGTATGTAAAAGAAAAGAAATGAGAAGATGATCTGAAATAATAATGGTAATTATTTTGGCTATAGTAATAGTATTACTTATCCGGTGCATTAGAGAAAGGAATATATGAACATACACACAAACTCTTGAAATCCAAAAAATGATCCAAAATAAAATATATAGTTCTAATTTTTTTCAATTTATGAATAAATAATAATTATTATCATATATATTTTTACTGGTATTGTAAAAGAAAAGAGAAGTGAGAAGATGATCTGAAATAATAATGGTTTAATTAATTTGGCATATGTAATAGTTATACTTATCCGGCTGCATTAGAGAAAGGAATATATGAAACATAACACAACTCTTGAAATCCAAAATGATCCAAAATTAAAATATTATAGTTCTAATTTTTTTCAATGTTCAATAAACATTATTTTTCTCTCAAAGTCAATATTATATTCTAGGATATAAAGAAAAAATATCAAGGAAAATTAAAAATCTTAAGTTACAAGAGGCTATCTATTTATTTCCAAGGTAGATATAAATCTTTACCTAGAATTAAAGTAATAGTTGGTTTACAAAATTCAATTCAATAAACGAAAAAGAAAATAAAAATAAAACTCTGTGTTAAGAAGTCAATCATTAACAATATAACAAGAAATAAATTATATTAAAAAAACTACCAATTTCAATTTCAAAAATAACTTTGGAAATGCTATAATTTAATTAAATTTGATTTTGATGGACCAAAAAAAAAAAATGCCAAGTCAATAAATGAAAAGTATAATACAAATCATACTATGATCCAATATTGGTCAGTTAATGAGTTTATTCAAGTATTTTGTTTCTCTATTGTTCTAAGTTGCAAATTAAAAATGAATAAATAAATTAATTAAGTAATAAACATTACATCATCTCCACATAAACCCACTATTTTTCCTAGAACCATACAAAAAAAAGAAGAGCATACTTTTTTTTTATTATATATATTTATTTATTTAAAAAAATTTTTTTGAAATTATATCCGATCAAATAATAAAATATAATTTTTCTTTTCTTGGCCCAAGAAATGATAAATGCTCCTACTCATCCAAACACTCATTAATATAAAAATATAATTTTCGAATTGATTACGACTAAAGCTATTTTAGAATATTCTAAAATCACATTATTCCCCTTCATATTCCCACATTTATAATATACTATATATTTATATATATATAGTATTAGTATCAAGAAGACTATGCCTTCCAAAATCCAGGATTTTGGTGTATATATAGTATAGATTCAAGAAGACCTATGCCTTCCAAATCCAGGAATTTTGGTCCCACCTCGAAGGAGACAACTCTTTTTGGGTGGAAAATGTTTCAACTAAAACTAAAACTAATGTTGGATTTCCTTTTTTAACGGTTTTTGCATAAATCTTTGTTGTGATTGGGATTTAGATACGAGATTTTCTTGATTCTTTAAATATGAGATGTCTCTTTAAGGACCGTAGGATCCAGTAGTTAGTTTCCACCCAACAGCCAGCAAAAGAATCATGGAAGAACTAGTAAAATTTTCAACATAGCAACAGTATCCAAATTTAGCATATTGTTAAGAAGATGTCAAAGGAACTAGATGTGTTGACAAATCTTTTTGTCCATTAAAACAGTCTTCATCTCTCACATAACAAATAACTGGTCATATTTACTCTAAATTGAGAAAATCTCGATCGTCTTTGCAATGCTTCTCCGAGTAATTAACATTCACTTTTGGTAGAACTTTGCTCACTGCCACAAGATAAAATTTTTGCTCTCAAAACCATCATATACAAATAACACATTTCTGTTCTGAAATAGTTACATCTATTGTTCATAAAGAATACTTCATTGTATAATAAACTTTCCATCAAAACCACTTACCTTACTCCTGTTTCTCTAAAAAAAAAAAAAAAAAAAAAAAAAAAAAAAAAAAAAAAAAAAAAAAAAAAGGAAGTTGCAAAGAAGAATATCCCAAAAAAAAAAAAAAAAAAAAAAAAAAAAGAATTGCAAAGAGAGAATCAAAATTACATTTGAAAAAAAAAAAAAAAAGTATTTATGTTAAATAGTATCTGATGAAGAGAAAGATCGACATTCTTCCATTCTTTACTACTGTCACTCTCATTTGCTTCTTCACAACACAATACCTCTTTCTTTCTACAAATGCAGCAACATATAATAAGCAAAGCAGAAGAAAGCCTTTGCATTTTAAGGACAAAGTTGATTCAATAAATGATTATGTAACCTTAAGTTCCAAGTCATCTGCTTCTCTTGAGTTTGACAACCCAAGAATTGACAGTGCCTATATTGCTCTCCAAAAATGGAAACGATCAATCATCTCTGATCCCAAGAACCTAACCGCCAACTGGGTGGGATTTGATGTGTGCAATTACACCGGCATCTTCTGCTGGGCTGCTCCTGACGATTCATCTATTCAGACAGTAGCAGGGATTGACCTAAATGATGGAGACATAGCTGGCAACTTAGTTCACGAATTAGGATACCTTACAGACATTGCACTATTACATCTCAACTCAAACAGATTCTGTGGAAAAATTCCAAGAAGTTTCAAGAAACTGAAGCTTCTTCATGAGCTGGATTTAAGCAACAATCGTTTTGCAGGACGCTTTCCTAATGTAGTTCTTGAAATGCCAGAGCTCAAGTATCTTGATCTTCGGTTCAATGAGTTTGAAGGTAATGTTCCAAGGGAGCTATTTGACAAAAATCTGGATGCAATACTTTTGAACCATAACAGATTTGCTTTTGAATTGCCCGATAATTTTGGAAATTCACCAGCTTCCATCATTGTTCTTGCAAATAATGATTTCCATGGATGCCTGCCAACAAGTTTGCTAAAAATGTCAAAGACTTTAAATGAGTTGCTCTTGATGAACAATAACTTGCATTCATGTTTGCCGAAGGAGATTGGGTTGCTTAAGAATTTGCAACTTTTTGATGCAACTAATAACAAGCTGGTGGGAGAGTTGCCCGAGGAAATTGGAGAATTGATACTTTTGGAACATCTAGATGTGTCTCATAATATGCTGAAAGGCACTATTCCTAAGAGAGTGTGCTCCCTGCCAAATTTGCAAAATTTTACTTTTGCTTATAACTATATCACTGGTGAGCCTCTTACGTGCTTGATGCTGGAAGATTTTGACGATACCAGGAATTGTCTGAGGGGTAGGCCAATGCAGAGATCTGTTTTGCAATGTAAAACGGTTTTGTCTAGACAAATTAATTGTGAAGCTTTTAATTGTAACAAGCCTTGCCCTTCTCCACCAACTTTACCACCGCCTTCTCCACCAACTTATTCACCTCCTCCACCATCACCTCCTTCTCATTTGCCACCTCCCCGACCCCCGCCTTCCTCCCCTCATCCTCCACATCCACCTGTTTCTTCACCTCCACCACCATCACCTTCTCTCTCTCCACCAGTTTATTCACCTCCCCCACCATTGTTTTCCCCTCATCCACCACCATCACCTTCTCTTCCTCCACCAGTTCATTTGCCTCCACCCCCACCCCCACCCCCACCAAATCCTTACATTAATTCCCCACCTCCACCCCCACATTTTCCTCCTCCAACTTTAAAGTTCTCACCTCCTCCACCAAGTCCTTACATCAAATCCCCACCTCCACCCATACATTCTCCTCCACTACCTCCTAAGTCCCCACTACCCCCACCAAGTCCACCTCTGCCCAGGCAGTCTCCTCCACCACCTCTACAGTCCCCAGCACCCCCACCAAGTCCACCTTCGCCCATGCAGTCTCCTCCACCACCTCTACAGTCCCCAGCACTCCCACCAAGTCCACCTTCACCCATGCAGTCTCCTCCACCACCTCTACAGTCCCCAGCACCCCCACCAAGTCCACCTTCGCCCATGCAGTCTCCTCCACCACCTCTACATTACCATTCTCCTCCTGCCTCCAAATTCCACCACCCCACCACAGTCAGCCTGCTGCCCATGCAGTCTCCTCCACCAGCTCTTACATTCCCGTAGCCAGCCCCCAGCCAAGTCCACCTATCACCCCATGGGCCATCTCCTCCACCACCTGGTAAAATCCCCACCAAGTTCACCGTCCGCCCTATCCAATGCGCCTCCGCGCTGTACATTCTCCTCCACTGCCTCCACAGTTCCACCACCCCCACCAATTCCCACCACCCCCACCAAGTCCACCTCTGCCCATGCAGTCTCCTCCACCACCTCTACAGTCCCCAGCACCCCCACCAAGTCCACCTTTACCCATGCAATCTCCTCCACCACCTGTAAAATCCCCACCAAGTTCACCTCCGCCTATTCAATCGCCTCCACCTGTACATTCTCCTCCACTGCCTCCAAAGTTCCCACCACCCCCACCAAGTCCACCTCCTCCTATGCAGTCTCCTCCACCACCACCCACTTATCAACAACCACCACCACCTTCACATATAGAACCTCCTCTCCCTCCATCACCTCCACCCCAGGAACTTCCGCCGCCGCCGCCACCTTCACATATAAAACCTCCTCTCCTTCCATCACCTCCACCCCAGGAACAATTGCCTCCACCGCCACCACCACCAGCTCCAATATATGATGGCCCATTGCCACCAATCATTGGCACACCATATCCATCGCCGCCTCCACCACCATACTTTTACTAACTTTACATTTTCGCCATCCCTGAGAAGTGAAGCATGTGATACAACATTATTGTAACAATCTACTAATGGAAGAATTCAAGATAAAAATACAAATGAAGAGAGAAGAAAATATAAGGAAAGAGGGGGGTTGTCAGGAGAAAGCATGAATTTTCACGCTTGATTTCAAGGTAATAAGATGAAGATGTATAATTGAGAAAGTAGGTTGCAGGGGTTGTAACTACTGAGAAGAGATTCATATTGGCTATGTTTTTAATGGGAATATCACATTTTATGCCACAATTTATTTTGTACCGCACTTTTCTTCATTGCTTTTTCCTACATGCTGCCTATCATTTCATGTGTTCAGATGCTTTAACATCTGATTCTAATTAGGATTTGAACAAGGATTCTGCATGTTTGCCATTAAATCTCTCTATAGCTAGATAGTTGATTTGTCAAATTCCCTCACTCCTTTGGTTGAATTAAGGATTTCTTTTTTTTTTTTTTTAATTCAGACAGCTTGAACTAATTGGATTATCGATAATTAAATTTTTTACAGAGGCAGATGCTTTAAAAATTGCTGATCTAATGGCAAAATGTAAAGTGTGCTTTTCTTCCTAAAAAGAATCTTGCAGGTTTGCATTAAAGCGAAAAAAAAGATACATTGTGATAGATAGATTTGGTCAATGACCACACAACAGCTTTTTATTGTTCCTTTCTCATCAGCATAAGAAATGATGAGTATCAGAGCATTCACAGTTTTGTTATTATTGCTTAAAGGCAGCCTCCAGTTCTAGATTTTTCAGTGGTTGAAATGTTTTTCCCCTATTTCTGGATAAAAGGTATTATAGATCTACTCTGCCTCCAAATATAAAATTAAGAATGTACGCATGGAATAATTTCACCCGCTAAATGGGCATGTGAAAGGCTTCAGACACTTATTTATCATGTCAGCTTTCTCAGTTGGCTAATCATCTTCTTCCTTTGGCTTCTTAGCTTATTTTTCTTATTCTTCTTTTTCTAGGGTACACAAGTCTTTAGGCAGGTACTCTACTTTTTTCCAGGGTACACAAGTCTTGTTCCACTTCTATCCTCCTCAGGATTGGTAGGCAGGGATTGGTAAAGAGAAGGATGGGGTACCCTTAATACAATTGGGGGACAAAATGGTACTTTTTTTTTTATTAAAAGGATACTAGAAACAAGCTAAAGACAAGTAAACTATATGCCATGTAATAACCAGTGGATGCTGAAACCTGGATAACTTAACAAGAAATTTTGACAAAGCGAGATTCTATGTGCTGCTTGCTCTTCCACCCTTTTAATTGATTCACTTCTAGATAATCATCTTATTCTTTTGATTTGTCCAACAAGAACGCCGTGACTTGGACCCGGAAGATAAGTTATCTGCAATGCACTTCCATATGAATGAGATACGAACCCGTTATAAACAACCTTCAATATATTTTTTTTAATGTGCTCACCTTTTTCTCAGTCACAGGCAAATAGACAACTATGGACCTAGCCACAAGCAGAGTTAAAAAAAACATCAGTTTGAGGGATCAAGAGAGTCGCATAATTCATTTTATAGATAACGAATAATTCAGTGACCAAACTTATCAAGAGTTCAAACAAACTAAACAGGTTCAACAGCTTACCTCAGGGAAGTCAGAGAATTCTAATAACAAACTCTTCTTTTTTCTTGTTTCCCCTCTAGGCCCCAGCCAAGGATACCACAAGCTAAGACGTGGAAAGAGAAATTAGAACATTTTAAAATATATAATGTGCCCTTGCTGGTGAAGACTCCAATTTCCATACACACAGGACTTCGAACCATATGATTTCATATGAAGTCAGGCTGCCAGTAGATCAAGGAACGAAAATTCCGAGTCTCATTCAAAACACTGCTCATATAGCTCAAGAGCTTCAGGCTGAATTAGAAAACCCAATCAACTTTTTAATGCCTGATCAAAGAAAATGGAAAAAGCAGATTCTCTCCCATTTGAGGGTTCGCTTCAGGAGGTAAAGGCTGGAGCAAACCATTACTAGACAAGTCTTCCAAGCCTTTTATATCCTGTTGCAAACGGGTTGCAAGCAAAATTGCATGCTCAAGAACTACAGGATCATCAGTGGGATTCTGAAGAAGGGTAAGCAAGGCCTGCCTATAGACTTGAGTTGCCAGTAACGGCCTTGCAACCTGCCGATTTTTACATATAACTGCCACCTTGATGACATGCTTACAGAGATTTCCCAGTCTTGACCAGGGACAATCGCAGAGGGAGAATTCTGTACCAGGATTCCAAATTGTATATGCCAAACTTCTGTCCGTTTGAGAGATGACTTTTGCAAGTTGGAGATTTTGCTCATCCAACATCACATCAACATCAGAAATGTGAAGAGCCTGATACCAAGCATTAGATAAGAAAGACTCATCCCTTAAACTTGCAAAATATCCACTTTCTAAACTGTATTGATCTAACCAATATAAGGAGTGAAATGCAGTCGTCAAAGTGTGGATTAACCAGTCAATTCTTGCCCAGGAATTAGAATTAGCATGTTGCTCATCAAAAAGCTTGGATTTCAACCTTATGTGATAGGATTCAATTGCAGCCACGGGCTCTGTACCAGCCACAGGGAGAGACCTTATGCCATTATTCCACAACTCTGCATAAGATGAATCAACTCAAGATCCAAATTACAAAATTGTTGCTAAAATTTCCATTTCTCATTTCTGAAGTCCATTCCTATCTATCAATATAGTCCTCAAAACAACTATTAGAGCAATTATTACGTGAATGAATTTCATGTATAGTCAGAATATAAACGAGAGTACATTAGGCTCTCAACCTAAGAAAATGCGAGTAAGGACCAGGCAAGTTGACATTAATGTTCTATGCAAAAGTGGAAGAGATGAATTTATGCATAATCAAGAGTTGTTTATAGTCTTTTTTTTTATTATTATTGGAAGGTTTCTAATTACATTTCAGATAGTTGTATTGAATTGTTTATTAGTCCAATGAAACAAGACATGGATATTGAATACAACCACCAAGAAATAATAACTTTCTATCACTTGAATATTGTAATAGGAAAAAGTTTTCCATTAGCTATAATTGTTATTTTCTGTATCTCACCACATGCGTTTTATTGTTCTGAAACATTTCAATTCATTTGGTTTTTCCTTACCTTACTTTATAAATGAAATATGTCCTAATAACAAACAATTGCTCTAAATAGATTTCATCAGTGTAATGTTAAACAACAACTGGTAAGTATATCAGGAGATCTCATATATTTTGCCATATTCCAGTACACATTTGAAAATAATGACATTGAACAAATTTATCAAATGCAATATTTCAAATTAGGTCTCAATATATTGCAGTTGCTAAGAATTCAAGACCAAGATAATAATCTGTCTCAATATATGATCCTAATAATGACCATTAGAGAAACAATTTCATGATGAAGACTATGTATAAAGGATAACCTATTTCAGAATTTTATGTAAACAGCTTAGACTAAATATGCTATTCACGCTGCTTACTATATAATGTGGCATAGGACCAATGGGAAAATAAAGAAACTACAACGAATCAATAGAAATTGTTTTCAAGTTGAAAAGACAGTACCAGAAACAGATGTGTAAAGGAAAAGTTCCTCCAACCAAAGAAAGAGAAGCTATGTGATACCTAGTTGATAAAATAAAGGATAAATGAAATACACACCTATATATGGTAACCATCTCCTCTTAAAATAATCCATGAAGATACTTTGATCAACATAAACTTGCATGAATTCTTCAACTGCATCCACAGCACTTGGCCCACTTCTTGTAGAGTACAAAATCCAACTCAAGTGCTTAAACATCTCTCGCTGCACATCAATATTGCAGCATTTCTTCAAAAGGCTTCTTATCCAAGCACGACGAACACGCCAAGTGCATAATAGCACCCGACAATGGAAAGCCTCTCTGCAAACGTGAATGACCTTTTATAGATCTGTTCCAAAAACAAAGTTAGGAACATCATCATGAAACTAAAAGATTTACCTTATGATAGAGATGTCAAGGGAAGGATCATCAACTAGAAAGGCATTGGGCCTCCATCCAGGATCCTTGGTTCGGATCTTTTCAGCTAGAGAACCAAACCATTTGTGGGTATCTTGACTAACAAACGAAGAGGCAATGACCCAAGCAACCGGAATTGCATTCCGAGATGAATCAAAAACAAGTAAGGTACACAGAGGATACTGTTGAGAAAAATGGGAGAGTACTAAATTATTATCAAGCACCATAAACATGAAACAGACTAGCTTTTACATAAGTCAGTATACCAGTTGCATTCATAGTCAACTTTAGCCATAATGGTTTCTAAGCCAGAAGTCTCGCCAACTGGGTGACCCGATCCACAGTTCCTAAGTATTTGAAATTCATAAATCATAAAACAATTTGTTGATGAATTCATCATCCTTGAGTAGAAACAGGTTTAGCATGCAACTTCTATGAGTAATTGTTATCACAACTTACCATGTAATTACAAATAACTCCTCAATGCATAGAACATATATATCTGCTCCCAAAAGGCACTTTTTTCCTAAAAATATTTTGAATTAATTTTGAAAAAAGAGAGAGAAAAGCCTCTTAGTCTTTACTTATTTTTATATCCTAATCATTGGTCTGAAATTTTTATTTTATAACCTCAGTGGTGATGAATAATTAAAATGATCCCAAAATCCGAACCTTAGAATTGAAAATCACTTTACCTTAAGTTTCTTCAACCCAAATGTTGAATGAGAAGCTACAGAACCATTATGTCCATATCGGAGCATATGCTGCAACTGCCAATCTGTCTGTATACCCAGAATAAATGGATTCGTTCCAGAGTTTTCTTGGAAGAAAAATACATGCTTCTGATGACGTTGCACCCACAATTTTACACTACAATCATCATTTGCGTGCATTTTGTGCGAAGAATTACGTACAACCCTCTCCATGTTACGAACATCATTCCGAGTAAGAAAATCATCACGGTTGTGGGGGCCACCATGACCCTGCACCACATCTGTGTGATGCTGTATTATATTGTCTAAAGATATCCCAACATAAAGCATAGACATCACTTTCTGGCGCAATTCTTCTGAAATCCTTGGAGCATACATGGCTCTTGTCCCCACAGCATCCAGATCAAGCATCCCATGGCATGGGGCCCCTGTTTTATCCACATGTTTTCTTTGATTATATATGATAAGAGCCAAGAACGGACGGGTGTACAGACGTTTTACAGTAAAATGGCAAAGGCAACCTCTCATCATATGGCGCCTTCCTGGCCTGCTGCCCTTCCCAGTTGCAGGTTTGGCGTTAGAGCCATCCCCTATACCAGACTCATTATCTCGGTAGTCTTCAGGTCCATATGAACACCAATATCTGAAAAAAGGATCAAAATAACTAACACATTACTCAGGTTACTTAGGATATATCTTTACAGCAGAAGAACTTAACGTTGATAAGTCAAAATGGTTCTCTTCTCAAATACTATGTCATTCAAGCCCAGGAATGTAAGGTTGCTGAGCTTCAATGTGAAACAAATATTTGTGCTCCATGACATTTGCCTTAATGATTTGAAGGAGCTCTTGACAAAGAACATATTCATAAAACCAAAATGAAAAGCATCCTTTTAAAATCTTCTTAAAAATAAAAACCGAAAAAAGAACAAGTTGCCATCCAAGACCCACTCACAGGATTGTGACCTACAGTGTATATTCAAGATAGCCGTCAACCCTTGGTTTGCTGATGCTCCCTTCAGATCTCTTTCTCCTCGATTCAATGCGGAAGCTAGCAGGGCATTCCACATTTGAAGATTCCCCTTTTACAAAATCATCAACTCTAGAAAAAGGAACAAGAGCAATATCATCACCACCTTGACGACCGCCTTCTATTTTCACCCACTTTATATGTGACGCGGAAAACTCTGCACAAGGAGGATCTTGCACTGGAAGATTAAGGATATCCTCCATTCTTGGCATCTGCAATTGAAGATGAAAGACAGGACAATGCGGTAACACCAACAGATCCAATGCAAGTAAAGGATCACGGAATCTTGCATTCACCGGCTGGGTTTATATAAACACTATTTTAACTGAAATCCTAATAAAATACTAAGAATAGACATGCACATTGTTTAGAATTTCAATAAATAGATAAAGGACCACAGAGGCAATGTATTTATGATCAGCATCATTTCATTTATACAAATTCTACTGTCATTACAAGCATTCAGACCAGAATAAAAACATAATAAAAATATCTCAAATGTTGAAATTGGCACAATAAAACTCAAATTTTAACAGCATGGGTAAAACTGAAGTTTGATATCACACACAGCAGAAATAGCAATAAACACAAAAACTAAAGCAACTAACACAAAGAACATAGGATACAAAAACAACTGAACATGACAATTGAAGATACAAAAATCAACAAAAAAGAAAAGATCCATAGTCAACAATGTTATTGTATTTTCTCCCAGAAGTTCATTATATTTCTAAAAAAATATTACGAGAGGAGAAGAGGGACAAAACTCACAAACAGGAGGGTAACTGATCCTGATACAAGAAAAGGAAAATCTACAATTATAAATTCAATACTATACAAAAGATCTCTCCAATCCCTTTGCATATCATAGAAGTGCATATTAATAACTATAGAACGCTTAACTGCTGGCATATCTCACATTATATCCCCATTTAGGCTTCATTTGGCTAGCTTTATTTTATTTTATTTCACCATTTGAGAAGTAAAAATCAAAAAAGCAATATTTAGCATACATTAAAAAATAATATATAAAAACCAAGAAATTTTTCACATTTGATAAAATTGAAAAGCGAAAATACACTTCTTGTAGTAATTTCCCTGTTCTTTTCTCATGTGAAACAAGATCTTTTACATTTATTACATTCTTCCGATTGCATTTATGTTCTCTTTTAGTAAATCAAAATTTGTAAAAAGTTATCTTCAGGAATCAAAAATAAAAAATCAAGAAGGCCAAACCAAACAATGCCTCAATATCTCCAACTTGATCTTAGCGTTTTTGAACAAGAATAAAATAAAGTGAACATCAATTTAAAAAATTGAGCAAGAATATAGATTTCTAAGAAAACAAATAATGCAAGCTACAGAGAAAGCGAAAAAAATACTGAAAGCTTATATTTTTATAAGGTTTCAATTAATATCTAAACAATAACTACATAATAATACTAAAACTGATAATAAAACAATTACCAAAAAAAAATTGATAATAAAACCTGCTGAATTAACAATATTTCAACAAAAATTTACCTTGGTTTCATGGCCGCCCTTCATGATACCTCAGAGAAATGAAGCAGATAATCTAAGGAGCTGCAAAAAAACTGATTAAATAAACAAAATTCAAGTTAAAAGAAAAAAAATTGAAATGCAAAATCAAGAGCTTCTCAAAATTAGCTTGAAATCAATAGGGAACGGAACTTTCCAAATCAAGAAAAAATTTTTAAAAAAAATTCAGAGAAGTTGTAGAGATCGAAAAATGGAAACTTACCTAAAGAAATGGAAGAAAGTAAGAGAGAGTGAAGGATAAGATCATAAGAAGCCCAAATTGCAATTGAAATTGAAATAAGCAAATTAGCTCTCTTCGGGAACTCGCTCTCTGCAACTGCAAGCTTGGAAACAGTGATCATGCTGGAGTCCAATTACTCAATTACCAAAATGTTCATATCTTTGTACGAAATTATCAAAATACCTAGTTTTGTCTTTTTAGTATGTCGGGGATATTGTTGGAATATTTTTATTTGTACTAAATTTATTTTCTCACATATAATATACTACCTATCTTCCACGATAGATATCCTCTCTTTAAAAAAATTACTTAATTTGTCTTTGTTACTGTTAAAGTAAAATTGACTATATTATTTTTAATTTAATATTAATTTTTTAAAAAAAATTATTAAATTAAAATAATAATTATTAATTATATATAAAGAGTAAATATATATTTATTATTTTGTAAAACTATAAATATAACAAATATTTTAGAACAAACTATTTTATCAAATTAAAATACTAAATTTTTTTTTAAGACGTATTTTTCGCCGATGACTATGCTTTTAAGTTTTCAAGTGGAGTACCCATACAAAGGTCATTTTAAATTATTTTGCAACAAATCGTATAGTTCCAAATATTTTTTTATAATTTAAGCTCAATTTTATTAAAATATGTGGAATTAAAAACGAATGTTACAAAATTTAAATATGTGGAATTTGAAAACAAATTCCACGAAATTAAACATCCAAATTTTTATGATTTAAAATTACCTCTCTTTCTACAAAGTGAATTTTAATTTTTTTTTTTTTTTTGCTTATTTAACTTGCTAATCTTATTAAAACCATTTAAAAATGAGATTGTTTTTAGGAAAATATAGATCTCATTGTTTGTTGTTAAAGAAAAAAAAAAAGAAGAGAAATTTTTTTTAATTTTCATTTTTTGTTTTAATACTTTTTTAGGATTTTTTTAACTATTAAGTAGAAAATAAACATTCAAGTAAATATAATATATATTTAAATATAAATAATAAATAGTAATATATATTTTAAATATAAATAATATATATATATATATATATATATATATATTATAGATATATATATATATATATAATATAATATATATATATAAATAATATATATAATCCTAAAGAAAAAAAAAATTCAAGAAGCCCTACACATCGCACTGCTATGGTCTTTCAACATTATCTTTTTTTCTTTTTTTAAACAAATTTTTTTAAATTTTTTAATTAATTTTTAAACATTTATTTTCTATAATCAATATCTAATTTAACATATATCTAAAATTTTTAAAATATTAATAATGTAAAACTTTTGAATTTTGAATTTATTTTGGATTTTAAAATTAAAAATTTTAATTTAAAACTTTTTGAATTTCCTTTTGTTATTTTCAAATTAAAATTTTAAAAAAATTTTAATTAATATATAATATATATATATATATATATAACCTTCATATTAACATTTCCAATACCTTCATATTAATCATTTCCAATGATTTTCTTCCACAATGGGTTTTTACTTATTTTTTGTTGCTTTACAATTCTCTTATTTTTTATTGCTTTATTTATTTATTTCTTTATTTTTATATATGTGTGGTTTTTTGTTTTGCAACTTCAATCCAGAAAAGTTAATTCTTTTACTTCAATTCAAATAATGTTAATTCTTTTTTTTCGATCGATGTAATGTTAATTTTTTGATCTCTTTTTCCTTTTTTTACATTTCAAATTTTTTTGTGCAATTTTTATGGTTTTCCTTTTTTTTTTTCTTTTTCTGTATATTCTGTAATTTCTCTTCTCTTTATTATGCAGGTATGAAAAATATTATGTTGATGGAGATGGAGAAAAAAAAAAGGCTAATTATTAATCCATTTATGTATTTTTTTAATTTATTATTTTTAGTAAATAATAGAAACTTATAAATTTTTTTATTCATCGCTTCATATTCATATATACGTAAATTTTAGTTATTTATAATTTTTTTAATTCATGTAATTATTATTATAATATATATTAATTTTGTTTTAAATCAGTCAAATTGATGATTGTAGTATTGAATTGAAGAGGTTTCGCTAAAAATTATGATAGAGAAACTCTATGTATAGTATATTTATTATTCATCGATTCATCGGTCTTCTTGCCCAGAGGAAATCTCTTTACTTGTTAATATAGCAAGCCGTGAACATTTACAACGCTACCTATTATTAAAATAATATTCTTATTATTTAAAATTTGTTATTCATTATACAAATAATTATATTTAAATTAATATTCATATACAATAACTATCTTAATCTATATGATTTCTTATAATTTTTATTTTTTATGGATTCAATTTAAAAATACTTTTTATGGCTTAAAATATTATTATATTTAAAGAATAATAACATATTTATATCCTCTCATACTTTATCATTCTTTTACGTTTCTTAGATTGAATTGGTTATTTTGGCCTCTATTCTTAGAGAATAATTAATATGTCTTCTCAATATGCAATTCGTACTATTTCTTTATTCTATAAGTCGAATTATACCTTATGTTTAGGGCTGTTGTTGTTATGTTTTAACTTATTTATATTTTAGTTTATAGACGTACTATATATTATAATTTTTTATTTTGCTTTTTTTATATATTATAATTTTTTATTTGCTTTTTTTTTTATTTCTTTAAAGTTGTAGAATTTATTTTTTTATAAATATTTATTTTTATATGTGCAATAAAAAGTAAACATCTAATACAATATACAATAACAAAGTAATAAAGCAACCCAAGCATCTCCGCCTAGTTTATAATAAATTATACACATAAAATAAAAAAAAAACTAATTTCTTATTTCAATATAATTAGTTAAATTCTCAAAATTATTATCACTATTAAAAAATATATTAATAATGTTTATGTATTTTTTTATGTAGGTCATACGATGCATGATTTTTACTATTACACACCTTATGAAAAGTTTTACATTATACTTAAGAAGACATATCTTAGCATCACAACTTTTCAATATATCTTAATAAGATACAATTTATCATTTTATTATATAATTGTACTATTTTTGAATGATATTATAAAATATTTTTTCATCTTTTAATATTATTCCGCACATCGTGCAGATTAAAAAAACAATTATATTTTCAAATAATATCATATAGGAGACAAAAAATTAAATTAAGATTAATAAATAAAAACTATTTTGTTTGGAAATAAGAAAAGAATATAAGAAAAGAATTCCGATAATTTTCTCTTCAAATTAGAAGGAAAAAAAACTATAAAAATTAATTTGTAGAGAAAATTTAATTTTATTTTGCTTTTATCCAAAAAAAAAATAAGTAACAAAAGTTTTTTCAAAAAAACAATTTAATCCCTTCTTTTTTTTTTTTTTATAATCAACAGAAGGTAAGATGCCCAAGGAGTTATTAATTAAAAGAATTGCAAAGATTCCCAGTGATAATTTTTATATCCTCGTGTGGAGAACATAGAAGTGCATCAAAACAGAATGTCCGGAGACCCACGCTTCAGATTAGAGAAAAAATCTTAACATATTGCTCGTACGTAGTTAAAATCTTCTCGTTTCCTATTTTTGCCTATTATATTCCGATAAAAATAATTATCCAAATCAAGTTGAGCAGTAACCAAAAGTGTTTTTTCTAAAAAAACAAGTCAATCCCGTTTCCTTATTTCTCTGCTTTTTGTCTTGGATTATTCATCTTCAAGAAAAAAAGAAATACACATAAGCTGAAATAAAAATCTCCATACTTCGTGATAAAAAAACCAAAAAACAACTTTTTTTTTTTTTTTGATTATTCATTAAGAAAAAAAGAAACAAAAATAAATTAAAAAAAAACACTTGATCACGCGATACAGGAATATACACGATAAGATAATTTTAAAAAAATTAGAAAATTCACATGATTAGGACACATTACACTACATATGTATAGTATATTAATATTCAATATAATTAGTTAAATTCTCAAAATTATTATCACTATTGAAAAATACATTAATAGTGCGTGTGCATTTTTTGATGCAGGTTATACTAGGGGTATCAAAATGGATCACAACACGCGAAATAAATGAATTAGGGTTGAGGTTAAAAGAGTTCATGCCATAAACGAGTCACCCATTTCTGACACGAATATAAACATGTTGTGTTGCGGGTTGACACGCGGATTAGACGAATGCCCGTTTATTTAAGAGTGAAGAGATAATTTTAGCGTTATATAAATACTCCAACTAAAACCTATTTAAATTTTATTGTTCGTATTACTTTTTTATTTTAATTATGAATCTTGTAGAATTAATGCATTTTACGTGTGAAAATTTATTTTAAATGTGAATGAAGTTAAATAGGTTAAAAGTTAGAAATACTATAAGCAGGTTAAATGGGTCGTATATAGGTCAACACATCCACTTAACCTATTTATAATATTAAACGGGTTACAGTAGTGGTATATGGGTCAACACCACCCACTTAACATGTTTATCCAAAAATATATAGGTCAACACATCCACTTAACCTATTTATAATATTAAACGGGTTACAGTAGTGGTATATGGGTCAACACCACCCACTTAACATGTTTATGATATTAAGCGGGTCAAACGTGTCATATTCGTGTCAACCGTCTAATTTTTGTGTTGTGTTTGTGGCAAAGTTATAAAAAATTATTTCATCTTTTGATATTACTCCGCGTATCACGCGAGTTCTAACACTAATATATATAAAAACTGAAACATAGAGAAATCTCAACTTTTTCTTTGTTCAGTATTTGATTTTTCTTTTTTAACAAATTTTTTAGGCTTTTCCTAATTCTACTTGCATTTGATTGGATGTATTCCGTGGTTGCCTAGCTTTTATAGTTCTTTAATCCATTGATGATTTTACTTCAACCTTTTTATACCCAAATTTGATTTTGATTATTGCTTATCGGGATTTTCTGACTCTATGATCAGGTAGATATCGCAAACTTCCTGCCTTTTTACTTCTCTTTATTTTATATACTTCATTTGAGCATTTAAATGTTTAAACTTGTCTTTGATTATTTATGGATAGCCTTAATGAGACCTTGGTCAGCAGAGTTCCTGGCATTTATATGCTGTGCATACAGGTTCTGTTTGGGCACTTGCC